CCCCATCCTGTTGAGCAAGGAGAGTGATAGAGTGGCTAGCCAAGCTCAACCCATCACAATATAGTTATTTATACAAATGAATACAGGAAATAAAAGTTGAGATTTAAGTAATAATCGCCCTTTTGCACTTCCTACCTCCCGGCATACTGATAATGAAATGCTTGCTTAACTGTTTTCTAAGCCTGTGTCTTGCAATGATATAGTTTACTTCTACAGCAGGTTTTTTTCTTCCTTTTTGTCTTTGGGATCACTTTGCAGCTTTTATTTCAGGAGTTCAAATAGCTAAGTTGAGGGAATGGCTGTGTCCACTTGGGGAATGACAATGTGAGGCAGTGTACCCACATTATCTGAGCGAGCAGAACCCGTAGCAAGGATGGAGACACACCACAATGGCTGCTGAGCTCCTGAGCAAGTACTGCCACAGGCAGAAAAGAAAACGTCAGCACAGCTTAAAGCAGTCATTTGAAATGGTAAAATGAAATTACGTTAACCTGCGCCGGTTAGAAATGTCGTGGCCTAAACTTGACTTACCTTAACTGACTTAAAATAGAAAAAGGCCACTTCTGCTAAGAACAGCACAAAGATTTTAATATAGTCTGACTAATAAATTCTGAGAGATAATTTAGATTCTCTGCAACAATAGGAACATTTATAATTCCACTAGATGATAAAACTTAAGAACACAACTATACACATGAGCAGAAGGGAAAGACTTTGTGCCCAAAGCTTGGGAAGAGACAGTACCTGCTGTACACTGGAGTTAGCTGTGACACTGCCCAGCTGCTTGCGTAGCTCCTCGAGCTCCTGCAGAGATATCTTGGAAGTAGATGAGGGAATGGAAAAATTGGTGCTGACACTGGTTGCTGCATTTGCTGCAAGTTCTGCCCTTTCTTTAGCATTTTGTTGCAAATACTGGAGTGTCTGCACATACACAAAAAAGAAAAGATTTTGTGAACCCTGGTCAGCACGCGCTAAAGGAAAAAATATATGACCATAAGATGATTGTGCTGAATCAGACCACAGGTCTTCCTGTCCCAGTTTCCCATGTCTTAGGGGCTTATATCAAGAGCAGTGTAATTCTCAGTTGTACTTCAATAATTAAGTAAATGCTAGAAATGCTAATCTGTTGATTTCAATGCATTTTGCTGAACATTATCATCAGAAAGCATGCTGTACTTAAAATCACTGCATTGTTGCTACTGCTCAATACTTGTAACACATCCAGTTCTAAAGCAGAAACAAACCTCTTTGTCTTCTGTGAGTTTTGACAGTAGATAAACTAAAGAATCTAGATGTCTTGTATTTTTAGACTTCAGCTCATCATACTTCTTCAAAAAATCTTCAGGAGTTCGAGAAAACTCTGCTATTTTTACCTGTAAAACACCACATTAATATTAAAAGTTTAATGTATATTATTATCACAGCATTCAAAAGAGGAGCATTGGTGCATGGATGGAGAAAAGGTGCAGGCTGCTGCTGCTGCCGAAGTACTTCAGGGAATGGGTTTTGGACTGAATGCTGCAGCACTGGTCTCCTAATAATAATTATGCTGGAGGAAAGTGGGCATCCTGGCACTTCTGGTGATGGAGAAGGGACTGCAGGGGAGAAAAGATGAAGGTAAGCACAAGATCTGTAGCAGGGCTCACTTTGCACATGCTCAATCTGAAGCAATATTATTTTGTATCAGCAGGTTTATTAAGGGCTTTGGCATTGATGGAGCCATGTCTGGACACTGGGTCCACCCTGGGGGCCCCACTAACAAAAGAGACATCAACAAACTGGACTGAGCCCAGTACAGAGCCATGCAGACATGCCCATTGCCCAAAGGGGTTACTGACCCTGCTCTGAGGGGCACAGCAAAAACACCACAAGCACAGCCACAAACTGCGACACGGAAAATCCCAGCTGGCCCTCGGGAAACAGTCCTTTCTGGAGACAGCGGTGACCCTGGGTCATGGCCGGAGAGATGGAGGAAATCTCCTGGAGATCTTACAAATGCAGCTAAGCTGTCTGCTGTAGCTGTGATGCTGGCCCTGCTGCGAGCAAGGGGTTGGACTGCAGATCTCCACCTGTGCCTCCTACTTAAATCTTTCTACAAGTCTATGAACTGTAGTTGTCAGCATAAATGATGTGTAAGACTGGAATTAGAGAAAACATGCAGTTCAGGCTACAAAGATCTGAACTTTCAGACAGACTTAGCAATTTTCTAGCACTTATAGCTTGACTGATGGCTTGCTTTTAAAAATGACAATGAAAAGCAGTATTATGGCCACAGAAGTAGTCCTGGTCATGAGTGTCAGGCTTTGATCCCTATTACCTGGGTGATATTCAGAAAAAAAGTCAGGTATTGTTCATATAATTGCATTCCATCCAGTTACTATTTTTCATTTGTTTTATTCCTCCAGATATTTGAAACAACCACCACAGGCACAAAATAAGCTCCTTCTTTGAACTTCCTACCCCCCCAGTTCTAACAATCCTTCTCATGTTTGTTCACTAATATCTCCAAGATGCAAGGGCTTTACCTTTTTCCTGATATAATCTTTCTACTTTATATCCTAAATTGAGATTCCAGATCAGATTACCCCATCTTTTTTACCAATGCCAATATGATTTTACTGTTATTCTCAGAAAAACTTGGGACAGCCACTACCCCTCCCAACATGGGTCCAGCTCCGCACCCACAGAAGTCAAGTAATCTCACAGAAAAGTAGAGTAAGGAAAAGGTATTTCACATCATTAGCCAAGAGAAATCATTCTGAGGAATGTTCATCCTGAATTTCATCTTGGGGCAGACTGTGCTCTCAGAGCTGATGGAACCTCTATCAACGACTGCAAAGGAAGCATGCCGCCTCAGGAGTCCTGCCAGTCCCCCCATAAGGTCTGAAACGCATCTATCTCAGCTGTGATTACAGTACATTGACGCTTACCTTTGCGCTGTGTGCAGAGACGGTCGTGGTAACGTAAGGTGTTCGATTCTTTTGCAGTAGATCGATGTAGACTTCAGCTCCTTCCCCACCGTGAACGCGCAGCAGGCTGAGCAACTCATTGACATCATGGTGAATGCGGAACTCGCTCATACTCCCACCTGAGGCTACAAGCTCCACGAGACGCAGAAACAAAGGCAGTAAGTTATTATTTTGCTGCTGCAAATGAAAACATACCTGCACAAACAACATTTCCCGACTACATTATGAGCCTGCAGGGTATGCTAAAATATTTCACTGGAACAAAGAAAAACATGTAAGGAGAGGAAGCAAGCAAAACAGATACTCATTATCGTGCCTGATTTAACTATACCGGTACAAACCCCACCTTAAATGTAGGTGAGCCAGCAGGATTTTTCAATCTCAAAATCACAGTGGCAGTGGAAAAGTTACTGAGTTGTCATTAAGAAGTGCTGGTTCGTGTACTGACAGACTGCAGACACAGCTGAAATTGTTGGCTTCAGCAGCCTGCCCATACTGCTGCTTCTGAAGTTATTCAAAAGCAGTTTTTCCAAGTTTGGGGGTCTTTATGTTCTACTGCCCATTTTATTAGCGGACAAGCACCAAATTCTGCAAAGCTACTTCTGACAACCGCAGAAGTAAGAGTCTGAATGAGACATCATGCAAGTACGGAGTTTAATATGACACCCTGTACAGACACAGAATATCAACCATATGGACACACTTTTGGTTTGCCAGAACCATTGAATCATATAGGCTCGAACAGATCTCTGCAAGCCTCGGTCCAACTCTGCACCCAAAACTGAGTCAAATTAGAGCAGGCTGTGCAGGGCCTTGTCCAGTCCAAGCTTAAATATCTCTAAAGATCCAGATTCCTCCACCACTCAGGGCCCTGATCCTCATATGGATGCCGTTGGATCTCCCTTTGCCTCCTCATCTCCGGCCGAGCAAGCCCTCAGCCTCTCCCTGCATGCCCTGGTCTCCCCCCACCATCACCAGGGCCTCCCCAGGCTCACTCCTGCTTGTTTATAATTCTCTCACAAGGAAGCCCCCAGACTGGCCAGAGTGTTTTGGCTGGGGTATCATGAATGAGGTGTTCCCTCTCCTTTACCTGCTGGCTACGTCCCTGCTAACACAGGTGAGAACCGGCCTTTGCTGCCACAAGGGCACAGCACTGGTCCTATCTACCCTGCTACCCTAGACCTTTAGGTCCCGTTTCACACAGGTGCGCTCCTGACAGCTATCACCCAGCCTCTGCCGTCATTTGGGTTATTGTGTCCCCAAAGACTCGGCATTTGCATTTTTCCAATTCCTTAAGGTCTCTGTGAGCCCACCTCTCCAGCCTGTCAAGGTCCCTATGAGCAGTTACCAGAACCCCCAGCCCACACATCCCTCAACCCTACTGTGGGACGAGTGAACTTGACAAAAGCCATCCCTCCTGTCACCCCGGCTGCCAAATGTCACACGTCACCAGCCCCAGCAGCGAGGATCAGCACCAGTAACAACCTCCAGTTCCCCCGTGGGCTGCTGAAGCGACCGGGGGTCAAGAGCATAAGGAATGAGGAGAGGCTGAGGGAGCTGGGCGTGCTCAGTCGGACCCAACGGCATCTCCCCCTGCCCAGAGGGGTCCCGGTGGGGCCGGACTCTGCTCAGAGGGGCACAGCGAGGGCCCCAGAGGCACGGGCACGGCTGCAGCACGGGAAGCCCCGTCCGGCCCCAAGGAAACAGCCCGTCCCCGTGCGAGCGGGGCGTCCCGGGGACGGTGCCCTGAGCAGTGGGGGATCCCCATCCCCGGGGATGCCCCGACTCGCCGGGACTCGGCCCCCAGCGACCCTCTGCAGCTGTGGCGCTGGCCCTGCCGGGAGCGGGATCGGGCCGAAGACCCCCCCGCCCGGGTGCCGCGGCGGATCCCTCTCCTTCCCGGCCGCTTCCCGCCCCGGCTCGC